GATCGTCAAAGATGTAGCTTGTATGTTATGAATGGTTGGAGGAATAAATAAAGAAGGGGAATTTTGTAACCGGCGTATGGCTACAATTTAAAATATCTTATTTTTATAGTAAAAAAAATGATTACTAAAACTATTTAATATAATTAACACCTTATAAGTTTTATTAATCTTTTGAATGATTTTGATGAGTTTTTTTTTTTTTTTAATATATAATAATGATAAGTTATATAAAAAAGAGATTCCTTAAAAAGTAATTTTGATCTTCTGGACTTAGTTCAACTAACAAATTAATAATAATGGCTTCTCTCCTAATCTAGTAAGTAGTATTATCTCTCTTTGGCAGCTAAGGTTTGGCGAACTAGGATTCCGGCGTGAGTTTTGTTTTTTGTTTTCTGTTTTTTTTTTCTTTTTCTTTTTCTTTTTCTTTAAGGTAATTGATTGCCGGTTTTTTCTTCTTTTTGGTAATTGATTTTGTTCTCTCGTTCCTGTTTCAATTCCAATACAGAGTTTTATGCCTGAGGTTATGGTTTGGTTTTTCTCTAAAATTTGGGGAGGTGGCTTTGCGTTTCTTTTGGTTTGCTCTTGCTAGAGAAAAAGGGTTTTGGGGTAGTGGTTTCAATGGAAGAGAGAAGGGCTAAATATCGCTCGGATGAGATGGACAGCTTGGTGGTCGAGATGGTGAGTCGTTTGAAGTTTTCGGTGGCGGAGTGAGAGGGTTTGCCGTTGCCTAGGTCAGAGGATAGATCTGGCAGGAGGGGAGGTCGGATGAAGCTTTTGGCGATGGAGGTGGTAATGATGGTGACGGCGACGGCGACGGTGAGGAGGGCCTTTAGAGACGGTGGTTGTTAGTGCAAAGTGGTGTTTGATTGTGAACCTCCAGATAAAAAAGAGCAAGATTTCCATGTTGAAATCCTTAATTTTTATCATCTACTTTTTAGCCTAATTAGATGAGTTGTATGGTGATTTGGGTTTTTAGAGTTAACTCAAATTACCAATTAAGTTGGCTATAGAACCATAGAAGTTTAAAAGAGTGATAATTTTTTTAGAATTGTTTTTGATATATTAAAGAATTATCTGCTTTACATATTAAAATTAAAAAGTTAAACCTTTGAAAGATTTTTTAGTAAGTATTAACTAGACTAAATTTTTATTGATAATCTTTAAATAATTAAAAAATTAAAATCACTTAAATATCTAAAAAAAAAAAACCCAAATGTACATTTTTTAAGCCCAATTATAAATGAACTCTAGACCATCTCTTATGATTGCCCGAATATCACAGGTTCCCACAAAATTCTCGTATAACCCATTGTTTATCTCACTTAAGGGAATTAATACATAATCACATCTAGTGCCACAGAGTCACTTGTATCTTTTTTAACTATTAAGATATATTTACAAGGAATCCAATCTAGCCCATGAAACAAAAAGCATGTACTAGCCAATTGAGTTACAAGTTGAGGTGCATAATAACATATTATAAATTAATAATAATTTAAA